GGGCACTGAGCACTGTGTGGGCACTGAGCACTGTGTGGGCACTGAGCACTGTGAGGCTCTGAGCACTGCGTAGGCACTGAGCACTGCGTGGGCACTGAGTACTGTGGGGGCACTGAGCACTGCGGGGCGCTGAGCACTGTGGATGCACTGAGCACTGTGGAGGCACTGAGCATAGTCGGGGCACTGAGCACTGTGGGGGCACTGAGCATAGTCGGGGCACTGAGTACTGTGTGGGCACTGAGCACTGTGTGGGCGCTGAGCACTGTGTGGGCGCTGAGCACTGTGAGGCTCTGAGCACTGCGTAGGCACTGAGCACTGTGTGGGCACTGAGTACTGTGGGGGCACTGAGCACTGCGGGGCGCTGAGCACTGTGGATGCACTGAGCACTGTGGAGGCACTGAGCACTGTGGGGGCACTGAGCACTGTGGGGGCACTGAGCACTGCGGGGGCACTGAGCACTGCAGGGGCACTGAGCACTGTTAATGCACTGAGCTCTGTGGAGGTACTGAGCACTATTGGGGCACTGAGAATAGTGGGGGCACTGAGCACCATGGGGGCACTGGGCACTGCGTAGGCACTAAGCACTGTGGGGGCTCTGAGCACTATTGGGGCACTGAGAACCGCGTAGGCACTAAGCACTGTGGGGGCTCTGAGCACTGCAGGGCACTGAGCACTGTGGGGCACTGAGTACTGTGGATGCACCGAGCATAGTGGGGACACTGAGCACCATGGGGGCACTGAGCATAGTGGGGGCACTGAGCACCATTGGGACACTGAGCACTGTGGGGCACTGACTGAGGGGCACTGAGCACTGCAGGCCCATAGAGGCCTAGCTTTGGCGAAGGGCTCGGCAAATCTAAGAAGGGCTCCTTCCCAGTTCCCACCATGCACTTCTGAAAGCCCCTGAGACATGCAGACATCTGGGGACAAAGGCCTCCTGCCCTTGACGAGTCCGTCTCCCTCTGCTCCGTGCAGCCATGGAAGACAGAGACCCAGTGCCTTCAGAAGCCACACAGGTGTCCACTCCAGGAGGGACACACTTTTACCAGGGGCAGAGAAAACAGAACTCCAGGCCACACCTTCTGGCGAATCCACTACTACCTTGACCCAGCTGGAGGGCCTCACTGTCTAAGGAGGACAGCTGCCTCTGCTAAGGGCTCCTTAGTAAAACCATGTCCAGACCTCCGTCTGGAGGTCTCTCCCCTGGCGGAAGGAGCTGCGGGGCACCAAGGCCCACTGGGAGCCAGGACTTAGGGAGCCTCCAGGAGCAGCTGCACCTGCTGGGCCTCGGGCGCTGAGGCTAGGCCAAGCAGGGGAGCCCTCTACCTCATAGAAAGATCAGCAAGTTCCCCTGAGTGGTCAGCCGTGCGGCTACTCCACACTGCCTCCAGCACCTCAGAGGAGCGAGGCCAAGGGGACAGTCTGGCCTCCAGTGGCTGACCACGGCATGGCCACGGCACAGCCGTCACCCTTGCCCCGACCCTTACTTTTCCACGGCAGATCTCTTCTGGGATTTCGACTGATAGTTCAAGGCCATCTTGGTCTCCATGCCTGTGTAGATGGCCACACCTGAAAGCAGAAGGGTAACGCGATGGCCACGCGCAGAGGCATTGGCCTGCGCACGGGCCACATGGCCTGGTGGGATGGACTCTCAGGCCAGACAGTGGCACTTCTCATTGTGCCAGACAAGGGGCTGCCCCTGAGTCACCGTGGGAGTTTTCGAAGACTTTCCTGCACAGAGGACAACTGCAGTTTGAGAGTGCACCATAACATCAGGTGAAGAGTGACGTCTGCAGGGTCTCTGCAGCAGCGCACACTTGTGTATTTAAACAGTCGTCTCGTGTGACTGAAACGGGACAGCCTGCCAGAACCGGGCGGTTGGCAAAGTCCCGTGTGTGCAAGGGCTTCCCGCAGGACCCTTGGGGTCCTCCCCAGATACGACGTTGTTTCTGAGTCACAAACCACATGTGCCTCGTGAGCAGGCCTATTTTTTGCGTGTGGCGTTGTGGGTCGCTGTCACCCGTCAGCACAATGTCCTCAGTGAGGCACAGCTGCCACCGTAAAGGACACAGCACCCCAGCCCTGTGTACGGCAGCCTTGTTTTCAGAAGCGGGACCAGCAACTACTAATTAAAACATTTACCAAAGATCTTCTCAGTGTTCTTGAGCGTGGCTCCTCGGAGAAGCAGGTTTTCTGATCCCAGTGGCCTGTGAAGACAAGGACAGGCACAGAACGTGAAGCAACAGAGGCCAGAGGCAGAGGACAGTGGAGGCTCCAGTGTCATGGCAGGTCACCGAAGCCAGCCAGGTCCCCAAGGAAGTATGGCTGCCGGGCCCTCCACTGCCCTTGGAAGTGGGACCCCAGGCCCTGACCCGGGCCCAGAGTCTGAAAGCTCCCACAGAGTCCTGCTAGGAGCCATAAGGTGGCCCCTGGGTATCCCAACAGTGTCACCAGCAGCTCCGGAGACACGTCAGAAAATCCAGATCTACTGCATCTGAGGCCCTGGGGCAGTCCAGCACCCGTTCCCCACGAGCCCACGTCTGAGGATGGCTGCTCTAGGGACCCCAGAATGTTCTGGAAAGGCCAAGGGTGTGCGTTTTGTTCAAACTTGAGCTGTTTCCATCACAACCTCGTGAGACTTGGGAGTCTCTTCAGTGCCACCAGGTCTGAAGGTGACAGCTGGGAGGCTGTGGCCTTTGTGATCCCTGGGAGTCAGGCTGCAGAAGGGGCCTGGAGGAAGGGACCTGAGGGGAGTTTCTGGGGGAAACAAGCAGCAATGGAGGTCAGGGTCACTCCCTGAAGCCCGAGCACTGCTGCAGGCACGGGCCCCGTGGCAGCAGACGCTGTTCCTGGGGCTTTGCCCTCCAGTGGCTCCTGGATGACGCCACGCTCGTCTCCTGAGCAGTGGCCGCGATAGGCAGAAGGCGCGTGTGCACATTTTGCTACTGACAACACCCTACCGATCCCTTGGAGGGCAGGAAGAGCTGCTAGGACCTGCTGGGGCTGTCTGCTGGTGGGCTGATGTCCCTACGCTATGGAGGGGGAGAACCGCCAATGTCACATACGTGACTACGTTCAGTGACTTGGCCTACGCAGCTCTGCTTCACCGGCTGGATGACCGGGAGGCCTCGGGCCAAGGGGCACCGCGCGGAGGAGCACCCCAGGCGCGCAGCTGGCATCCTGCTGCCCCGGCCAGACAGCCACTAAAGACATGGCTCCTGGGGCTGTGCAGAGCTGTCAGCTTCTGTTAGCAGCACACTTGGATAATCGATGTCACAAGCACTTATGAAAACAAACGGCCCGTTTAGAGTGGGTCTCTGGGAAGTCTAAAAATAATTTACTTGAGAAAGTGCTTTGCTTCTTGTTTGAAGAGAACGAAGAAGAACTATCCCTCTGTGTGACTGAGGATTGGACAGATGGCTAACAGCCTCCATGTTTTCGACAGCTACAAATATCTTTAAAACCCCAGGTATTAAAAGGTGTACTGAACAGTACAAATATTAAAAGGCCAAACTAGAATTGGTGTCAGTATAACCCGGCAGCCGTCACCCTCTGAGGCACCTGGCATCACAGCGACAGCAGGAGGTCTGGGAAGCCACCTCAGATCCACCCACAGGTGACGAGGCCCCATCTACCTCCTCATTCATGTACCAACCAACCCTCACCACTGAGAAGGAGGCTCTCTTTCAGAGCAACCAGGGACTTACCTTGGTTCAATATGTACCCAGGAAAGCCGAAGCCACACCCCACAGACCTGGACAGCACTGGTCAGCCCACGGATGGGCGACAATGAGACCTGCTAAGCCCCACGGCTGTCTGACCCAGGCCTTCCAGGGGATCCCAGGGGCTGGTACCTCAGTAACTGCTTTGTCTGATCCCCCCCGAGTCTGTCCCTGACAATCTGGAGACCGCCTGAATTGGAAGACAGACCCCTTCTCGGGCCAAGGGACTTCCCAGAAAGGGGCAGCTCTCAAACACACTCAAGTCGTGTTCCTAGAACGTGCCACTGCAGACAACTGCCAGTCCGCAAATCAGACACAGCCCCCAAGACCACAGACAGCACTCAGCAGGGACAACCGACGGCGGCAGCCAGGGCCTGGGTGGCTCATGGTGCTGCTGCCCCATGTGGGTGTGCCACATGTGACCACAGCGGCCAGGACCACGGCGACAGAGCCGGTGCATGCACCCAGCCCCCAGATGCTCCTGGTGTCTGGCCCTGAGCCCAAAGGTCACCCCGGGGTGACCTCAAGCAGGTGTACACACTGGTAAATATCCTCCAAACCAGCAGCCTGCAACCTCAGGGCTGAGGCCTACCAGTGTGCTTGCTGTGAGAGGTGCTGGCCGCCCTTCCTCTGGGCATGTCCCTCAGGCTCCCTTCCCGACCTGGTCCAGCCCAGGCAGTGACCCTCCAGTCGGCCACCCTCAGGGCAGACCTGCTCAGAGCGCTCCGGGGCCACCTCAGTTGACCTGCACAGACGCACACCTGGGAAGCAGCCAGGAGCAGAACCGGGCATTCCTCAGGGGACCCCACCATGAAGGCTGCGGGTGGCCAGCCCTCCCCCATGAGGAAGGAGCGCTCCCAGAGCAGCAGGGGGGCCATGGCCACGGCCACTCACCTCACCACAGGGTCGTTCAGATCGCTGTACACATTGATGCGGCCCACGAACCTGGAACAGAGAAGCCAGTCACGGTGCTGCCCTCGGCCCTCCTGGGGTGCACTGGCCACTGGCCGCTGGCCCGCCCTGGCCCTGGCCTCTCAGTCTGTTCTCCCCGCCAGGATCGGGTGGCCTTCCTTAACTCCACTTACAAGTTACCTCCTCAAAATAAACAGACTTCGCTTTTCCTCAACACTTAACCCACGGGCCTCTTCCAGCGTTTGCATAAAAAGTAACAGAAGTGGCCTCGCGCGCCTGTGGACAGTCCAGCCCCGCCTGCCAGTCAGTGCTCCCTGAGGCGCGCCCGCCGTGCGCCTCCAGGGCCTTACTTATACAGGTCGGGCTGCGGCTGCTCACACTCGATGGTGGCATGCAGGCGATCGACGTCCTCCTCCGTGTGGAAGCCCTTGGTGTCCTGGACCGCGTAGTGTGTCTGCAAAGTGACAGGGGCACTAGCTCACCACCCAGCCTGGCGCCACGCTGGCCGCCCACCCGGGAGCAGCCCCCGCTGGTGTTTTCAGTGCACACACACAAGCCCAACGCAGGGCCAGCGTGACACCGGGAGACGTGGGAGGGGAAGCCTGTGTCTGCTCACAGCCTGGAAAGACCCGGCAGCACCGTCTGCCCCCCGGCTCGAGGCCAGGAAACGCCAACTCTCCAACTCTCACCTAAACACTAGCACGGCAAAGAAGCCGGCTGGGATTCTCCAAAATTGGACTGTTGGACTCATCTGTCCCAGTAGTAGCCACTAACCAGGCCAGTGGCCTGTGCTTCCCAGGGCCGGCCTCTGGCTGCACTTGGTTTACCTCCCCACTCTGCCACCGCTGCCCTCGCCTGTCATCACTGGGCCAGCACGGCTTCTGAGTGATCGTGGGTTGCCTGGACCAGAGGGCCACTCAAGCCCACACACACATCGGAGCCACAGGAAGCTGCCAGGCCGCTGCTACAGGCTGGCCCCTGGCTTCCCACAGAGCAGCCCCAGGGCTGTGTTCCTAAGGGGAGCCTGGTGATGGCCATGCTGCCGTCAGAGCCAGGAGCTGGCACCTGCTGCCCTAGCACCTGTGGCAGGGACAGGAGGGCCAGGGGCTGCAGCTCGCCCCTGGAATGAAGGAAGGACTATGTCCAGGAGTCCGGAGGGGAGGCAGTGCCCAGTGTCTCCTCTTCCTCGCCTTTCTAAGGATCAGGCACTGGGCAGACACACAGTGAGCTGTCCCCACCTCCCGGGGCACTTGCTTCCCTAGTCATGTCCCCACAGACCCTGAGAGGAGGTCTGTTCCCGGCTCACACACGGGAAAAGCCCCTGCAAGGCCCACGTAGCACAGCTCCCCGGACATCAGCTGGGCCTCCCACCCCACGCTCTGCCCTCAAAGACAGGGTTCCCATAACTCCTGCCCCGGAGCCAAACCAAATGCAGGGGCGTGACTTCAGGGAACAATTAACATGCAGAGTGCAAAGGCAGAGTCCGCCAGCAGCGACTCTGACCTTCAGTCCTGGGGAGGGACAGGCCACTGTGCTTTCCCCCAGTAGAGCCAGATGCCTGGGCCCAGGGGCAGGTCCAGATAGCAGGCCTCTGCCAGGGGGTGGGAGGGCTCACGGGTCCCAGGGTTTCTGACCTGGTCCTCCCAGGCTCACACCCAAGCCCAGCACTGTCCAGAGAAGCCACTGCCCCATGGACTGTCACTATGGAGAAGGCTAATCCTCCTAGGATGCACCACAGAGAAAACATGAACACAAAACTGAAAAGAGTCCACGGGCTTCACACTAAGACACGGCAGATGACCACGGAAGGCTGGCGTGTGCGTCCGTGATCCCGTAAAGACAAGGCTTCCACGCAAAGTTTCTAACTGCTCTCACCCAGGAGTGGTCCAGCACCAGGCTGGAGCCAGCACTCACAAGCCAGGGGGCAAGCTCCTGTTCACGGCTCTTTGGAAACTTCTGGGAAGGGTGCCCTATTTTCTCTGACGGTGAAGTTCCTGTAGCACAGCCCCAGCACAGCAGCCATGCTGAGCCCACAGGCTAGTTAGGGTTTCAGAGGATTCTTCCCGTGTTAGCGAGGCTCACTCACGTAGCACTCGGGCAAGACCTCAAGCTGCGGAGCCTCCACTCAGCTCTTGGCGAGGAAGGACACCAACTCTGACCAGCGGAGTGGAACCTTAACATGGACAGACCTCCTGGAGCCCTGGACTCAGCCCACCGGCTGGACCGCCCAGGCCAGCATGCGAGTTACCTGTCACCTGAGATAGCTCGGGGCACAGACATGGGGGGCTGGCCCCGGTGCCCCAGAAGGAAGGGGCCCTGGTGGCCCCATGCCCCAAGGACACCAACTGCCATGGCAGGTCAGCATCCGTAGCCATAGCTGAGTCTGGACACCAGGCCCAGAGTGCATCTTGACATGGGGACGTTACTTTATGGCTTGACTCCCCATCCAAGCTGGCAGTGGTGACGTGGCAGGTCCCATCTCCACGGTTGCTGGAGAGGAAGATCAAGTCACAGGGAAAGGTCTCATCCTCCTTGACCATGACGATGTCCCCAACCTGCAGGGCAGAGAGAGGGGCGGTTGGCCAGCGCTCAGCCTCTGCGATGGCCTGGATCCTTCTCCTGCAGCCAGGTATCACAGACACGGTCACAGATCAGAGTGGTCCTTCAGAGTCAGGAGCACCTGCAGAGGAGCATGCACGCCCCGAGGCAGGCGCCGTGTTCTCATGGGCTTCCTAAATGCCTGACAGCAAGCCTTCTGGAGCCTGCATCTGCCCCAAGGTGGGGAGAGGGGCTGTGGTCATGTCCTGAGGTACACACCGACCCAGGGCCTGTCATACTCCCTGTGCCTTGTGCTGCCCCAGGGCAGGACAGATGGCAGAGCCTCAGGAGAGGATGGGAGGGTGCAGCAGGCCAGGGCAGGGCCAGGGGTTCATGGAGGGTGGGGACGCTAGGGCTGGAGTCTAAGCTCACGGTCAGGATAGGCCAATGCTGGGGGCCAGCCACAAGGCTAGGAACAGGTGCTTCAGAACATAAGGCTCTAAAGGGATCTGCTTAAATAATTCAAAACACCTCTAAACACGGCAGGATGTCTGTCTCTGCCAGTCCACTGAGAAGTTATTCAAAACGCTCTTGTAGACTGCTATCCTATTGATTTACAGCAGGCACATGTGATTTAGACTAGGCCCACGTGATGCGAACCAGGCACACACACACGTGATCTAGACCAGGCACAGGTGGTCTAGGCCATGCACATATTTCAGCGGTCACTCTGAAAACAAGGCACATGTGATTAGAAACAGGCATATGATTTAGACCAGGTACACATGATCTGGACCAGGCAGGCATGGTCTAGACAGGGGCACGTGTCGGCTGTCACTTACTCTCAGCTTCCGGCTCTGCTTGCGGACGAGCTTGCCGTGCTGGATGAAGTGCACGGGACACTGGTTCATAGCATTGTCGGCCTTGTGACGGAGCCAGTCCTCGTAGCCCTGGAAGCCAGGCAGAGGAGAGCAGGTGTCAGTCACGCCCCCCCTAAGCCCGGGGGTGGGGTCTCCAAGGTCCAGCGACTGTAATGAATGTCTTACAGCTACCCACTGCCCACACCCACGACACACCCTGGGGACCAGCTCCTAACAGATGAGCAAGTGATCAGCCTGTGTGTGACACACCAAACCCTGCAAAGGCTCGCTGGGGCGGCAGGTGCTGGCCAGCACTCCCGACCCTGCTGCCTGCTTTCCCGGAGGGTCTGCTCTCTAAATGAACTTCCAGACTGCCGTGGGGGAGAAATATAACTCAAAGTAACACCAGGGAACTCTCAAGGGCTCCTCACAGTTTATATTAAAAAGCAAATCCAGACATCCTCACATCGAGGCCTGGACACCAAGGAGGAGAACGTGCAGCCCTCACCTGTCCTGAGTGCAGCTCCACCCCACACTGCTCCAATCTAGAGTGAATCGGTACATGGCGCCTCCAGGGCCCTTTCCTCTAATGGCTGGGCTCACTGCATGTCCCTGGTAACATGCTTTAGGCTTTAAAAAAAGACTCACACTGAAAAAGCACAGCTTTGTCAGCACAAATTTGAGCATCAAGAATTTAATTAGAAATTGCCATTTGTAAATTATCCAGATGTCTCACATGAAAAACTGACCCCAAAAACACTGAATCAAATCCACAGGGTTCATTCGTTTGCAGCAGATAAAGAACTTGTGTCTGCAGTGAATGGAGAATTCTTACAGCTCACCCATACAAAAGGAAGCCCATGTAAAAGTCAGCAAAGGGTGTGCAGGTATTTCTCTAAAAATGATGCAGAAATGGCCAATGAGCATGTGAGAAGCATCACTGGCTGCTAGGGACACACCAGTCAAGATGCCACGTCACAAATGTGAGGACGGCTGTGGTCAGGAGCTGGCACCCAGCACTGGCAGATCATGGAGCTAGCAAAACCTGCCTGCCGGTGTGTGACGCATGGCGTGGGAGCACTCAGGGACTCCTCGCCACCACTCAGACCACAGAGCAATTCCGAGGCGTATGCCCCAAGGAGCGAAGCCTTGTGCACCCATCAATGTGTAAGATATACAATTATTAAGTGTCAGTTAAAACAAACAAATGGGAAAAGAGACCTATATCCACCCAAGATGCACACACGTGTTCTAAGCAGCATTCGCCACAGCCCAAGGCGGAAGCCCCACCCACCTGGCCTCAGATGGTGGGTGAACTAGCTGGTGCACTGTTCATATTAAAAAGCATTGTTTTTTTGAACTAGCATCGCTTGTGATGAAGCACCAGCACCCCAGGTGGATAGGGACCACACGCTGTGCGATTCTGAAGGGCGTAGTGAGTTGGTCTTTGCCAGGGGCTGGGAGAAGAGGAACTGAAGGATGATAGCTGATGGGAACAGGCTTCTTTTTGGGGTGACAAAAGTTTTCTTGGAGTAAAGAGTGCTGAGGATGTACCACTAAGCTGGGGAAAATGCTCAGTGAAACCTACGTTCCCAGTGTCAGTCCTGGGCTTCACCCATCAGGACGGAAGGACACGCCGCACCTCAGGGGTCAGCACTCCGTGATCCACACCCACCACCTGCACAGGACATGCAGCAGCTATGTCACACAGCTGAGCCAGGGACCTCTCTGGTTGGCTCAGAGCACGGAGACCAATCATCTCAGATGGGGGCACCAAAAACGCAACCAAAGCTCTCATTCTGCCTCAAGCGTCAACCTGAAAAGCTACGGAAGTGAACTCTTCCACACGCCAGCTGCAACAAGCGAGGCTGCCTTGCTTCGAGTTTAAGGTGGCATTCACGACAAAGCCAGAGGCAGCCTCCCTTCCCGTCTGTGGCACTCTCACCTGTTTGATGGCGGTGACAGTGATGACAAAGAACAGCGGGAGTCCACTTGTCACGGGACTGGTGGGTGTATCGATGATCAGCTGCAATGAAAACAGCCAGGGAATCATTCTCAAACAGCTGCAGCAATCACAGACAGCTGATGACCCCACTCCACACCAACCCCACCACCACCTCCACCTCCACCTCCACCTCCACCACCTCCTCCACCTCCACGCCACCTCCACACCACCCCTACAAGTATCTCCACTACTGCTTCCACCACCGGAACTACTATCTCTACCATCCCCACCACCACCTCCACCTCCACCACCACCTCCACCTCCACCTCCACCACCACCTCCACCACCACTATCTCCACCTCCATCACCACCTCTACTTCTACCACCACTTCCACCTCCACCACCTCCACCACCACCTCCACCATTAGAACCACTATCTCCTCCCCCCCACCCCCACCTCCACACCACCCCCACCAGCATCTCTACTACCACCTCCACCACTAGAACCACCATCTCCTCCTCCACCACCACCACCTCCACACCGCCCCCACCAGAATCTCCATTACCACCTCCACCACTAGAGCCACCATCTCCTTCACCACCACCACCACCACCTCCACCTCCACACCACCCTCACCAGCACCTCCACCACCACCACCACCAGAACCACTATCTCCTCCACCTCCTCCACCAATACCACCACCACCACCACTAGAACCACCATCTCCACCTCCACCACCACCACCATCTCCACCTCTACACCACCCTCACCAGCACCTCCACTACCACCTCTACCACTAGAACCACTATCTTCTCCACCACCACCACCACCACCTCCACACCACCCCCACCAGCATCTCTACTATCACCTCCACCACTAGAACCACCATCTCCTCCTCCACCACCACCACCTCCACACCGCCCCCACCAGAATCTCCATTACCACCTCCACCACTAGAGCCACCATCTCCTTCACCACCACCACCACCACCTCCACCTCCACACCACCCTCACCAGAATCTCCACTACTACTTCTACCACTAGAGCCACCATCTTCACCACTAACCCCTCCATCAGAACCACCATTTCCACCTCCACCATCAGAACCAACATCTCCACCACTACCACCTCCACCTCCACCACCATCTCCACACCACCCCCACCAGCATCTCCACTAGTCTCCCTGAACCATCTCTACCACCACCACCCCCGAACACCTAGACCATTTCTACCTCTATATCTCCCCCATCAGCATCAGCATCACCACCACCATCTCCCAACTACCCCCACCATCTCCACCTCCATCACCAGAACCACCATCCCTACCACTCCACATCCAGCTCCACCACCTATACCCACACCCGCACCGTCACCTTTACTTGCCAACCCCCTCATTGGCTTCTACCTACTTAAAGCACTTTGTGGAGCTCACTTTACCCTCTGACAGAGGAGCATTGGGCAAGAGGCACGTGGCCTGTTCGGCTGGCTTTCACAGATTACAGTCATTTTGTGAAGGGGTGTGCTGAAGGAAGCCATGTGTGGTAAGTGGCAGAGACCCAAATCTGGTGCATGCTCATCTGAAACACTGCCTCTGGGGTCACGCTTCCATTGCATTACTTGGGTAATTCAATGTGAGGGAAATTGAAAACCACTGGCTGGTATTCTGTATGACAGAAAAGCTGGACGGTGTTCTTGACAGACATCTGCTCCCCAGTTCATGCCCCAGCCATGCTGTCTCTCTGTCTCGTCTCTTAGTCTCTTCCTGTTTCTTTTATTTTGGTTCTGGGGATTAAACCCAGGGGTGTGAGCTACATCCCCAGCTCTTTTTATTTTTTATTTGAGACAGAGTCTTGCTAAGTTGCTGAGGCTGGCCTCAAACTTGCCATCCTCCTACATCAGTCTCCAGAGTTGCTGATGTCAGGTGTGTGACTTCTTTGGATTTTCTCTGAAGTACCACACACGCAGAAAGAGAATGAGCTGGGCAACGTGGCTGGGCTGGGTCCCCCCTGGGTTCCAGGAGAAAGGTGTAGGACAGTCAGCTTGGACACATAGTGATCCCAAGTGTTTTAGCTGAGAAGGGTCTCAGAGAACCAAGTGAGTGAGCCATGGTCACGGGGCACCCTGTCCTTGCTCTTTATTAGAAGCCACATGTCGATTACTCATGAATAAAACATCATCTATCTAATTTACATTTGATGAGACAGAAAACAAGATGGGCCTTACCTGTACCAGAAATATGATGAGAAAGTAAAAGTTGGCTATTCTTCTGAATTGTTCAAATAAGTTCTTGGGTATGAAGTTCCAAAACGTGTACTGCGTAAAAGAAAAGCAACACTAAGCGTCGGGATGGTTGTGCCTTGTGCAGTGTCATTCCCACCACACGATAAGGAGCCCAGATTTCAAAGTGCAAAACATTCAATTTGGACACAAAACTCATAATTCAAAATCTGATAGAGTTGTTCACCATTTATTAACTTGTTGACCCAAGAAGCTGCTAAAACAGGATGTGCTCTCCAAACCTGCCCCGTGTTGCTGCCTGATTCCAGGGAATGCGGAATCAGGCAGCAACGTGGGGCAGGTTTGGAGAGCACATCCTGCAGTCTGAACTGCAGACCCGCTGGAGAGCGGTTCTACATGAAGACTCTCTCGGATGCTGCGTAGGCCACTCTCCCACAGCCTCCCTTCCCTTGCTGCCTCCTGCACGCTGACCCAGCTGTGTGACCCAGGCTGGTGGTGGCAGGTGCACATGGCAGGGGGCCACGTCCATGAGGGCAGGTGAGGGCCCGTCCCTTCTTGGCAGGCGTAGGGGACCAGCAGATGGTTCCTGCCTCTGGTTTGCTCCGACCGTTCACTCAGCTCTTGTGCTGAGAGCAATACCTCAGATGCAGCTGACCTACAGCAAGCACTGGGCTTGGGAACTTGCAAACTTGCATCTCCCCCGACTGCAAGCGGAGTCAGACCAGGCAACTGAAAGGCCTGCACATCCTCGCTCACAGGGTCTTCAGGCGCTCTGCTCCCACCCTCAGCTGAGAGCGCAGCGTGGCCTCTGGAGCGGGAACTCGGCCTGCCTCCGGCTGCACCCGGCAAGCCGGCTCTGGCCGTGGGACTGGACGGCAGTGCGGCTGACAGTGCGCCACCTGCTTCTCCTGCAGTCACGCGGCAAGGAGACCAACTAAGGAACTCTGCCCCGCACCAGCCAGGATGGACGCGAAACACCCAGAACTGGCCTGAAGTCTCAGCTGCTCTTGACCTGAAGTGGAGCCAGCCCCAGTGCCCACATGGCTGTCCCCAGAAGGCTCGGAGGCCTGAACCCTGGTCCACCAGGAGGGTGACCGACTCACGCGGAATGGAGGCGTCTTTCATCTGTGATTGGGAATAGGGACGTAAAGGGCAGAAAGCCCCCATGGCTGGAGCGTGGCTGTGGGAGCTGCAGGATCACCGTGAAGCACTGGAGGGCAGGCGCAGCAGAGGGCCTCGGGCTCTGCTGCCAAGCCTGAGTGTCTTCATGAGTACTTTGGGAGTAAGAAGTAACAGTGGCCTATTCTATTCTGCAGGCACCAGCAGAATTGTCAACACACTTGTTGAGAGTGGTCCACGGCCTGGGAATAGTCATTTTAGAGCTTAAACGATAGGACAGACGTGGAAGTCACTTATGCAAATACAAGTCACTGAAACATCCCTGTGTCTACCAACGGGCAGAGGTACCAATGGGCAGAGGTGCCCCTGCTTTCCAATAATGCAAAGTGGCTCAGCATTCCTCAAGGCCAGGGGTGGCAGTGCAGACGCAGCACTTTAACTCTGCAGCCTCCTGAGGGCCAAGCAGGGAATGCCGGGGTCTTGTGGCCTGAGGTGGACTGGGGCTTGAGGCGGCCATCACCCTCCCGAGTGCCGGTCTCCCCGGGGGTGCTGAGGCAGGACAGGCGGGGCCATGATGGCAGCTGTTTGTTCTTTCCTCTTCTGCCAATGCGTTCCCCAAAGGAACAGAACCCGGACGCACCACGGGGCAGTGCTTCCCCAGCCCCATCTACCAACAGCGAACCTGCCAAGTGCTGTGTGGGGCACTTGAAAAGTCCTAGCCAGAAGTTTGCTTTTATGTCGAAACAAAATGTTCTCCCAAGAAGATACAGAGACGTCGCCACCCACACTCTCCAAATCCAGACACTTGAGTGCCACAAAGTGAACAGCACCTTCCACACCCCGAGCTGTTACCCAAGAGGAGGCAATGACGACTGCTCAAGTGCTGCTCAAGAGTCCCCCTGGGTTCCAGGGAACCGATGCCGCCCAGCACCCCAGGGCACGCCCTCTGCGCCTTCCCTTCCCTCCTGGACCTGGTCACACAGGTGGCTGTGTGCATGCAGATTTCCCTTGAAACTTCCCGTCAGCACCTTCGTGGCCCTGAGATCAGGGTGCCCGCCGCCTCTTGTGAAGGTGAGGGTGACTTGGTGGGCAGCCGCTGGCGAGAGCACCCAGCTGAGACGGAAGCTTCTCAGGCTCTTCCTGATGGGCCGTGGACCACTCTTGACAAGTGTGTTGACTTAATTCTGCTGGTTCCTGCCTGAGAGCTTCTGGGCATGAAGGGCCCTGGTCCCGAATCCCCGCCCAGCCTGGGTGTGGTTTCCTTAATCTAAACCCAGGCCTGGCCGCTCTGGCGAGGCAGGGAGGGGGCAGGGCGTAGGGCCTCTGGGCCAGAGGGCGGTGGGCACAGGAACATTTAAGAAGGAAAACACAGCAGAGTAGGCTAGCCCTGGCACACCTAGAGCGCCAAGGGGCAGGGGTGGGGGCCACTGCTAGGCAGGTGGACAGCACAGCTCAGCTCTCCCAAATCCCAGGGTGCGGGTCAGCGAGGAGCCGGTGCTGGCAGAGCCCCAGCAGCCTGCACAGAGCTTTCTGCCCTGAATGGGACATGCTGGTGGCCGAGCTCTGTGCCTGGGGGAGAAGCCAGGCCAGGGGAGCTGGGTGGCCAGGGCCTACGACACGTTCCACACAGGACGTGGCACTGATGGTGTGCGGCTCACAGGTCTGCACAGGGTCCCCACAAGTGCCACCAAGCTCTGCTTGGCACGCGTACTGCGGAGACACTGGTCTTAGGAAACATGCTCATGAGGGGTTCAAATTTCGGGCCTCCTGGGGGCCGGGGAAGCACATGTCAGCGTAGAAACCGTGCTCAGTGAGTGCTGGTGAGCGTGAGTCCTGAACGAGGCCCGGTGCGCCTCAGCGGAGCCCTCTCAGCTCACTCCTGCATCTGGTATCGAGTCTGTGACCACAGAGGATGTCATTTCGTTGGGATTTTGCTTTTGAGCATTGTATGCACCCCCGTCGTGTTTTTGGAGATTACAGCTACTATGATTCCTTGACGCTGCTGTTGCAGGTGGAATAAACCCACGGGAAGGGCTCCGAGGAGCTGGCCTTCCCTATCGTAAAGCATCGTTGACAAATGTGGGTGCCCACCCTGGATGCCACGTGGGCACCGAGCAGTCTGCGCAGGCTGACGCATCAAGGAGTGGACGAAGCAGGTCTGGCTCTGGGCCCCAGGGCCTACACCTCGGCACACCACATGCACGCTGGCAGCCGTGAGCTCAGAAAGCACCAAGCCTGCAGCCACGTCCCTGGTCAACTGTGGTCACGCGGGCCAGGGCCAGGGCTACCTTGGAGGAGACGATCCTGTTGTCAGGGTATCTCTGTGGAATGTAGGCCTCTGCTCCCGGAGGCGGCTCCTTGTGTCCCACGTAGATGGTCCTGCTGTCCACCCAGTTCTCCTCTCCTGCACACTGTGGGCAGAAGAGAGGGTCCGTGAGCACCTGGGGATTGCCACGCAAGTTCCTCCTGGGCCCATTTGTCTGAACCAAGAGGGTCCCACTGACCCAGAGGGCCGCAGGGAGGACCTGGCCCCACTCCAGCCTCAGCACTGCTCCCTGCCCCAGAATGAGGGCATCTGCTCCCCAGACAGTCCCCCAGGTGGCACCCGGGGTGCTCCCCGCGGGGTGCTCCCCGCATGGCTGTGAGTGGAGAAGGCATGGGCTGAGTTTATGCGGGAACCTGACAGCAACATCTTAAGGTTTCAGGAAAGAAACACACTTTCCAACAAAATCAGAACACAAACCCTGACTCAGCCATCAGCGTCACTCGACGAGGCTTTCCTAGGAAGAGAGGACACGGGCCTGACGGAGGCCAGATGCTGAGCATGACCCTCAGGGGCAGCAAGGAGCTCTGAACACATCCTTCACGCCCTGTCCAGCCCGACCACAGCCAGAAAGCAGTGGGGACCTTGGCCACCAGGGGGTCTGCAGCCCTCACCGCTGGGCCCTCCTCCTCTCCTGCAGGGACTTCCAGACAGCAACCTACACTGGGCCCAGCCAGTCCCATCCCCGAGGGCACAGGCACTGCACCAGAGATGGGCAGAGGCAGGAGCAAAACACAGGCCACACGCCCCGCCCGGGGACACCTCCATCCCAGGCCCGCACCCTCCCTCACCTGGCCTTCGTCCCTGCACCTGGCCTTCCCACACCTGGCCTCAGACCCCAGGCCCTCCCACACCTGGCCGTCCTCCCTGCACCTGGCCCTCCCACACCTGGCCACAGACCCCAGGCCCTCCCACCCCTGGCCTTCGTCCCCAAGCCCTCTATACCTGGCCTTGGACCCCAGGCCCTCCCACCCCTGGCCGTCATCCCTGCACCTGGCCCTCCCTCGCCTGGCTGTCCTC